AAGAACGTTTTTCACATTTGGTCCCATGTATATATATTTAAATATCGGGTGATCCAGTTTTATAGATCTTTTGAGTCGATGGTACTTAAAGCTATGCAAATGCATGTATCAAAAAGTTAGAGAGAGTTCAAAGATTTCTGAAATACTGTTCTTTTTAACTGCGTAGACCATATTCTTATTCTGGTGTGATTAATTTCTTGAATCTAGGTTTTTTTTCTTACCAGAAGAATTAACTTTGACTTTACTAATTATTTTTAATTCATTATTTTTAAGCTTAATAATCCAATCTCCTGAATTGTTTCAGCCAATTTGTTTTACATATTCCTTCCCATTCACTGCTTTAGAATTGACTTTTTCATGTTTCATATCACATAATGAATTATGGTTCAAATATAGGTGTGGTCCTACTTCTCATGCATGGTAAAATTTGTATAAATAAGTGTGTACTTGGAATTTCTTTAACGCTGGATTCTTGTTTAAGTTTGACAGTGAGTTTGTTCCATTTGTTATCAATAAAAAAAATTTACTAAAAAATACTGGATTTCTGTGAGATAATCAACAAATTCAATCTATTATGTTACATTCTAGTATAATTTTACAGTTTTCTTGTGATGATCAAATCAGGAAGAACAAAACCAACTGTATCAATACAATCAAAGTAAAACACAACATTACTAATGTTCTTTTATTGTGATGAAAACAAAATGAAAATGCTTCTTAACAAGTATACACTAAATTTAAAGGATAGTTGTCGTTTTTCTTATAATAATTAAATATAAATATACATTTATAAAATCATGAATGTGTTGCTTGTGTGAGTCCATATCAAATAGGTAAAGAAATAATAATAAGACTTACTCACAATCAATTTAATTTAACAATCTGACGACCGGTTTCGCTTTCTACAATTTGCAAAGCATCTTCAGGTCTAGATACAAAGTTAAACTAATGCTGCAATAAAATAAACCCAATTAGGGTGGTGTATAATAAAGATAAAATAAACAAATAAGTTAGTTCATACAAATTATAGTAATTATGCCAATATTACATGTCTGTGGTTTTCAAAATGAATAAATTTGATATATATAAAAGGTATTAACAGACAAGGTAAGACCCACAATTGGTATAAAGTAGTTAATATATATTGTAATAAATTAATAAATGAGCAGATAAATAAAACAAAACAAACATTACTTACATGCCGGTACTCTATTAATTGATGGATGGTAGGTCATGGTTGCAAAAATCATGTATTGTTGATTGGAGAACTTTAATGTGCTATTGCAGTTGTTTTGACAATAAACGGGAAGTTCTTGAGGAGAACAGATTTGATCCAATGAATTAGAGATAGGTATATTGTGGTTGTTTATCAGATGAAAGTGATGTTCTTTACTATTGTATTATTTAAATTATTTACACTTATATCAGAGATATATTTTTGGAATATGGGTTATTTATTGATAATAAATAAATCAGTATAAATCATAAAATAAACAAATCATTATTGCAGCATTAGTTTAACTTTGTATCTAGACCTGAAGATGCTTTGCAAATTGTAGAAAGCGAAAACCGGTCGTCAGATGTTAAATTAAATTGATTGTGAGTAAGTCTTATTATTATTTCTTTACCTATACATTTATAAATTTATAAACACTGTAAACTATATTTATTATAAATATCAGCTAGAAAAATATTACATTAAATACTATTCGCTTATCACCAAGTCCAAGTTATTACAAAAACAACTTAAAGAGTCAGAAATCGATTTATATAATATTCTGTGCATAATATAATATTCGGAATGAATGTAAAAATAGAAATTTAATAATTTTATTAGTCTTCCAAAATATCCTCTCCATTTATGTTTATTGAGATTCATGAACAACTACACCATTTTGAATTTCTTGATTTATTTTTTCAGTAAAAACTGAATCTATTTCAGTTATGCGAGCAAGAAAGTTTTGTTTTTGGTCAGCAGCCCAATGTATAAACTATTCTTTGAATAATTTCCCCTAAAAAATAACTATGGTAAGACATTCATAATATAGACAATAAATCAATCATCCTATAAACAGTAAGATAAACAATCTATAGTTATGCTATGTAATATTTGCTGCAATCAATCTGCTTATATGTAAAGTAAAAATATCCTTTTTTTCCTTTTCTTCCCTTTCCATGTTCTTATATATGTTGAACCAAAATACTTGACAACATTCCAGTAGAGTATACAATTAAAAACTTGAAATTAATTTTTTTTAATAACTTACTTTATGAGATCATTACTTAGTATACTAATCATCAAACATACCAAGTATATGATAATGAAAATATTTGTACACTGGTATGTTTCCAAAAACATGTAACACAAAGGGTGTTATACTTATGTCCATAAATAGGAAAAATATTTTGATACAACAAGAAGGGTACTATTACAATCACTTCTTATGTAGCTCATTAATTTTAATTACAAAAACTATTTAATAGTAACAATAATATACCTACCTGATTATAAAAATGAAATCTATAAAATGTTTTAGTTCATTTTGCTATATAATTGTAGCTAACCCATATTTACATACCGATATTTGTACTTACTTCAAATTGATTTTCTTCAAGAATTTATATAATAATGGACGACACATATTTTGGAAGATCTGAGCGGTTGTTAATTTCAATTAAAATTTTACCTAAAGTGATCATGTCATTCTTGAAAAAGAAGCTGTGTACTATCTGTCGTATAGATGTTTTAACTCTTTCATCCTATGTTGCAAGAATATAAGCTTGACCTTCAATATTTTTAGGACATTTCATTGCTCCATCTGCTTATATTCTTTAATTGTTCGGTAAATAGTTGAATTCGAAACACCTAAAATTAGCGCATTACTTTAGTAAGTATTGATTTTAATAATAACTATTCTGTAAAACTAACCTGCTGCCTATTTTATTTTTTACTACCGTGGCTGTTATTTTTATTCCACAATTATCAATTTTCGTGTTTGTACATGTTTATATTACATTATTTCTCATTTGATGATAAATGACTCAAATCTACTTGGCGTTTTTAAGGTGAAGAAGAATAATTACCACTAGTACTTGGCTTTGAATCCATTTTGTTATCTTAAATGCAAACGAAAAATCTAAATATAAAAATGTAAGAAATAACACAGAAAATAAAAAAATTGTCGATATAAATTTTGAATTTTAAAATTTCACAAATGTCATTAGTGTCAATATGTTATAATTTAGTGGAGGTAAACTTGCCTGCGCTTGGACCAATTACAAACAAGCATTATGGCGCGGAAAATTTGAATTACTCCTCCTGGTTTAAAAACAGACCATAGAAAACTACAAGAATTAATTACAGGTCCTTGAGTTTATGATTATGATATGTTATTGTCTATTATTATCTTATCTATTCTTATTATCTATTCTTGTATTATAAGAAAATGCACATATAAATTGCAAATACTGAGAGTACAATATTTAACGAAGATAGAAGCTGAATATTTGTTGGTATGGTCAGAAATGGGTCAGAACCATAAACAATCATAATGTCCACTCTGCTTGAAGACATAAGTACGCGCATCTTGTTAGCGGAGATGGAATCAGCCATGCTTTAGTCGGAAAGAGTGCTGTTCAGTGGCATTTTATCTGGTGTGCATAAAAAAATTAACCCGATTTAATTTATTTACGGCAACTATAGACATAACATTTTTTTAGTTGAAAAATAGATTATATTATTTCAAATGTACTAAATTGTTAATCTGTAAAAATTTAAATTACATTTATGTCGTACTTGTCACAAATTTATCAATTCGAGTCTCTGTTTCCGTCTAAAATATGGCGATCACGTTCTGATATACTTCAAAGGCAGCATCTTAGGGATTCTGGATTGTTATTTATTCTGTGGTAGAGTCTTCTTTCACAACCAAAAGTTAACCAACGTGAAGGAATTATTTGTACCGTTACTTTATTTTCTTTATTATTCGGTGAATGTTATATTTAACTTGTATATTGTTTAATTTTTACTTTTAAAAATAATAATTGACTAATGTAGTAGACACAGAATAAATAACATTCAGAATGCACACTCTCAGATGCCGCCTTTGAAGTTTGTCAGCACGCGAACGTCATGTTTTAGACTAAGTGGACACCTACATTGGAACCGTATTTCTCCCGATCCGATATCGGGCGGACGTCGGCCGACGTCGGATTGAAAACAAACTCATGGTATTAAATCAAAGTGCCTATACTGCTTCCACGACGTAGCAGTATAGGCACTATGATTTAATACCTTGAGTTTGTTTTTAATCCGACGTCGGCCGACGTCGCCAGATATCGGATCGGGAGAAATACGGTTCCAATGTAGGTGTACACTTAAACATCGACTCGAATTGAGAAATTTGTGACAAGCTACGACAGAACTGTAATTTAAATTTTTAGAGATAAATAAATTAGTACATTTGAAATAATTTAATATGTTCTTCAACTAAAATACGAATAAAATAGTGCATATTATGTCAGTAGTTTTCATAAATAAATTAAACCGGGTTAATTTGTCTATGCAAACCAGTTAAAATGTCACTGAACAGCACTGGTTCCGACTAAAACATGGCTGATTCCGTCTGCGCAAACGAAATGCGCGTACTTATTTTTTCAAGCAAAGTGGGCATTCTGATTGTTTATTATTCTGTCTAGTAGGTATCTTGAGTTCCAGACATTTATCTCTTTATTATTCATGTTCTGTGTTTGAGGTAAACAGCAATGGATGATTTTCTTAAAAAAATTAAGTGAATATAAAATAATTTCTAATAATACCAAAATATACTACTTAAGACTAAGGAACCAGAGTATATGAGAAAAATTACTTGTGTATTTCCTTTAAATAAAAAATTATTGAACTTGTTGCGTATTGGATATTTAATATATTTTACGTCATTTGTCATTGTAGAAAATGTTGTGTGACATTGTTGTCATCATGCTGTCAAAAGTGTCAATGTTTCATTTACATTTACATGACATGTTAGTTCAAAATAAAAATATTTTGATAGTTTTATAATAATAAATGTCTTAGTTTTATTTGTATTACATATTTAAATTAATATTTTATCGTTTAAAATCAAATAAAATTTAGGGCCATGGAAAACTATAAAGACGTTCATTTCTTTCATACAACTTCCCAGGGCAATATTTATACAATGGTTGAATTACCTCTGCCAAATGGATCAACTAAACTCTTGGTAGCTTCTCTAAAAAGAGAAATATTTTGTTTTGAATTTCAAGAATCACCTTCTGGTTCACTTATTCCCTCTAGCAAAGAAGTTTCTTTCACATATATACCTAGTAAGTCCACTTTTAGTACATTTTTGCAACTAATATTGAACAAATCTTTTACTGCTTAAATTCAAAAATATACTTTTTTGCATTTTTTTTTAATTTAATTTTACAGCTGACATTTTTTAAGCAAAAATAATGCAATTTACTTTTATCAATATTTCCCAAAATATTACAGAATAGATTATATGAATAATGAACCATTAACAAAAGAAAAGTTGGGAAAAGTTTGGAAATAAATAAACCAGATAAATAAAAATACTAGAAAATTCTGATGGAAAAATACAGGAATAAAAAAACAAACACTCATATCGCTTATTTACGACAAGAACGACATAATTCAAAATTTGATGTTAACGAGATTTTTGTTACACATTATCAACATTTGTGATATTTTATTGCTGCTAGGACGACATATGAGAATTACTTTCGGTAGTGAAAGGAGGGCGACAGTGTCGTTCTAACTCCACTCAGTACTCGCCTTCCGCTTGCTTCAACAACGTCGAATTTCAGTTGTGCTGCAGTGTTCAGTAGAGGCGGTTGCGTGTATTATCATCAAGAACGACATATTTCATGAGTAGACGTTATTCTTGAAAAGGTAAGTTCAATTTTATGATAAAACATTTTATTTAGAATGACCGAGTTAGTGTTAGGACGCTCTTCTTGAAAATAACTAATAACATAACACTTTGTTTATTTTGATATATGACGTTTTTTATGAAAAAGAAAATTTATTGTTTTAAAACATTCTGAATTATGCTGTTATTATAGTAGCAATATTTCTTTAATGCTTTCCTAAGTATGTATTATTTAGTATTATGATGTTATTATAGTGATAATTAAAGACAGTATGTATTAAAATGTATATTATACTGTATTATGACGATCTTGATAATAACAAATTGGCAAAAGTTATTTTCAAAAGATAATTATTTTTTAACAATTATACTTATTTTTATATTTCTCATAAAGAAAATTAAATTGTGTTTATATTCGAAGTTTTAAATTTGTAGCATAAAAATGGGCACTCGTGGTAAATTTATACTAGACCTGGCTACAAAAAATATTGAAGAAGTTCAGCATTCCGTTGTAAATGAAAAGCTTGCTTACGATGCCGAACAATCACAGATCAATCCAAGAGGTAAACTACATTATACTTATAATCTAGTAAATATTTCATAACTTTTTTTATTTTTAGACGCAGATGCTTCATCGCCAATTGTACCGGCACTACTCGATACTTTACATAAAAATGATCAAAATCGTTCTTCTATAAGTCATTCTAGAAGTTCTAGTTTCCTCCAGCAGTAGTTCTAGTTGTAGTTACTGTAACAGTTCATCTTCAGAAGGTACAGTCTTTTCTAATGTTAATTTCTGGAAATTCCATAAAAACTTGTAACTCCTTTGACTTGAACGTACTTGAACTTCATTTAAAAGAAAAAGAACTGTCACGCTTACAGAAAGTAGAAGATAAGGAAAATAGTAATCAAGTAGTCGCCGTTTACGACCTACAGGCGGTTTTTCAGTGCCCGAAAGGTGATGTGTCCCTTTTTTACTATAAATCAAAATTAAATGTTTTTAATTTTACAGTTTACGACTTACACTCAAATACTACCGATTGCTTTGTATGGGATGAGTCTAGTGGAAATAGAGGTGTTAATGATTTGGGCACCTGCGTTTTTAACTATTTGCAGGCAAAGTCAATGGGAGAAAATGATATAGATGTTATTTTCTACTCGGACAACTGCGCTGGACAGCAGAAGAACAAATTTATGTTGGCTGTTTACTCATACTGTTTACAAAAACTTCCTAATATCAGATCCATAACCCATAAGTACTTAATAAAGGGCCACACTCAAAACGAGGGTGATTCTGCACATTCGCTCATAGAAAGGCAGGTGAAAAGACAATTAAAAAGTGGTCCCATGTACACACCAGATTCATTCATTGCGCAATCAAATCGGCAAGAAAAAATGGACAGCCATATCACGTACATGAAATGTCGTTTGAAGATTTTTTGACTGGAAGGATGTTTGCACACAAATGGGACTGAATGTCACTAAAAATGTAGAAAACGAGCCAGTTAAACTTTCAGATATCAAAATTTTGAAACTTGAAAAATCATCCCCACAGGTTTTATACTACAAACACTCATATAACGATGAGACTTTTAAAAAGGTCGTAATAAATGAAAGAAAAAAATATCCAGAAATAGTGGTTAAAAAAGCTTATGACTGTAAGCCAGGAATTTCTGAAAAAAAAAATCCGATTTGCTTGACTTATTAAACAAAAATGTTATACCGAAATACTATGCACCGTTCTATAAGTCATTATAAATATTTTTATTTTTTTTTTCTTTGGTTTAAAATGTTCGTTTTGTATTAATTGCATTAAAATTTAGATTATTATAAATATGTTATGTTAAAACCTTCTTGTTTAGTTGTAGCATAAGCATCAAAATGGTATTTTTTTTGTAAAAGGTATGTTTTGTTAATAAAAATGTTTACATGAATTACCTTCCATAGCCTTTTATTTAAAAATTAATACTTACTTCAAGAAAAATTGCAGTAATATAGACATAATACTAAATATTGTCTTGTCTTTCTTAAAAAAATTAAAGCACTTATCAACAATAATGTCATTTTTCGGAATAATACCAAAATAGGTCCAATGTTTTTTAGAAAGAACGACATAAAAATTTATTTATTTTTATTTAGACAAAATAATGCGAAACAAATTACGGAAAACATTAGGTCTTATTAAATTACGATATCTGTATATATGTATACCTTGCTAATATGTTATAAAAAGTTGGATAAGCAATGTGAAACTAGAAATCATCTGATAAAATCTTTATTAGCGATTTCTCAAAATTTTACTTTTTTGAATTATGTCATTCTTGTCGCAAATGAGCGATATGGTATTCATTGATCTTAAGAAAGCATATGAACAATCTTGGAAAACTTAGCGCTGAGGGAGATGAACATATTGGTTCTTAAGAGCAGCAGTAAACAATATATGTACAAATAAACATTATCGCCATCCTTCTAAGCAAAACTCAAATCTCACCACAAACCTCAGTGGGGTAGTTAATAATATAGAGACCATTAATTTATTTACAATATAATATATCAAACATTTTAAGATTTCTTTGGATGTGGAAATTAAAATATTAATATTAAAAAAATTCTTTTCAAATTTGTGGTGTGTTCCCAACTTAGAAATGCCATAGGCCCATTTGCAAATAGCTTCAGTCCAAAATATAGTTGTCTGTATAGTAAGAAACAACCTACATATGACTCCTATAATCTAAATAATAATAGTATGCAGTCACAATGATAACATCATCATATTAAAATGCACTTAACTATAATATATTGGAATTATAAAATCATTAGATAGTTAAAAACATATTAATGTTTAAATGATGTTTTAAACTGTCATCATGATTTTTGTGGATCTTGACTTGTTCACAGAGATGTTGCCATTCCTCTAGATTCCTAGCTCATACTATCTTCTTACTCTTAAAATCTCAAGGTCAATATCTTTGTGTACTCATTACACAATCTCTGACTTTCTGGTGGTGAATATCCATTGGTAATATCTAACAATATCCTTTGTCAAGAGTTTAAGGGCCGATTGTTCGAACGCTAATCAAAACTTTATTGTAATCAAATATTTAAACCTCCATTCTTTGAGGTCATTGAAAAATGTACGGCATCAATTCTAAATGATGCGTAAAAGTTTTTTAGCAAATATGCTGTCTAAAAATGATGTTTTTTGCAAATGTTTATAAACAATTTATCTACATTTGGGGATAGAATTTGTTGTTTTTTTCGGTAAGATCATTATTTCTTTTACGGAAATCACTTTTTTGATAGAATATAATTGAAAACTAACAAACTAAATCATAGCCGGTTATAATAAACTAGAATGTGGCCCGATTCTAACACATCGGGATTCTAGAACATATGATGTTCTACTAAAAATGCTTTTGTTTTGTCACCACCAAAAATATTCTAAACAAATTTATTTTGATATGAAATAAATATGAAAAATGCAAAACACAACGTTTTAAGTCGCCAACAAAACGGTACATTACAAATAAGCTCTAGTATCGTATTTGCCACTGAGTAACAAGCAGACTTCAGTCTAAGAGTCGTTATCGTTTCTCCACGGGTGGTAACAACTAAAAACTGATTGATTTTTTTATCTTAATGTATTTATTATTTCCTCCCCTTTCATTTGCTATATCGCATGTTAGTATTCGATAAGTTGTTTATTTTGTACTGGTAATAGTGTAGATAAGATGTAGTTCTCTAATGATACTCATCTTGTTTGTTTTCTCTGTCTTAATATAATCCTTATCTCTCCTCTTCATTTAACGCATCATACACTCTAATTGGACCAATAACAACGGAGATATGTTGTTGTATGTTGTATTACAATATAAACCAGCACCGGTATATCTCATATACCGGTTGCTGGTTTTCATTACGAACAGACAGACAGACAGAATAAGCAAATTAAATGTATCGATGCATAAAACCCTCATTTTTATTTTACAGTCAATATATTTAAATCTCAAAATGATCCTTAATTTTTGCTTTATTTCAAATATTTAATATTATATACTACACTAACAATTTGATTGTTAGTGTTTCCTTTGTCCGTTGGTCAGCCATTTTTTTAGTAGGTACAGTTTTTTGTAAACAAACATGTTAGGTTAGGCACAGAATAATAAAACAATCATAAAGCCCACTCTGGTTGTGGGTAAATCTCATTCGCGCAGACGGAACCAGTATGGCTCAATGAAATTTTATCTGGTGGGCATTAAAAGTTCAGTGGTAGCGTGTGTTAAAAAAAAAGTTCTGAAGCGTTTATACTCTTCTTTTTTTTTTCGTGTTCAACCTGCTTCCAGAGTTTTTTGATCTGCTTCGTTTTTGCTGTTTGTTGTCATCTCGCACTCATTATCAAACCCTGACTCCTTTTTTCTGCCCTGCTTTTAC